TGCGTCCCGCCTCGTCGCGTCCCGTCGCATCCCGTCGCGTCTCTCGTCGCCCGAATCCTGCCGTCATCTAGGGAGAAAACCAGACCGCGCCGCCGATTGCTGACGTTTAGACCGCGTGCCATCGATGCACCCTCTTCCAACCCTGTGTCCCAACCCCCACTTAAACTTTCCCACTTTGCCTGCGCCGCACATGCGACAGAGCGTGTATTGCAGCGTTACACAGCGATCCCCGAGAGCCAATCGTCGCCTCTTTCTTCGGCTGCTTCGAAAGCGCTGCGTCGAAATGGATCTTGGCGTCAACATCCAAGCTTCGTCGGTTCTCTTTGATTTTTGGGGGATTATTCGGGGCTGTGCGCGGTTTAAGGATCAACTATCGAGTAGACCGCATAGCTCGCCACCGGTGTTCGCGAGCACAATAGCGTTTCAATTACATTTGATTCGGTTATCGGCGCCCGTTTTAAGGCCGTTGATTTGAACGCCGCCGCGTTACGGGAGGCGCGGAAGAAAAAGGAGTGCGCGCCGGTGCGTTCTACCCCTTGTCATTTTACAGGGTGTCCCAAAAACGCTAATTGACTAATTATTGGTTAAACTTACTAATTGCAATCGAAAGCGAAACGAATTTGCTACCTGAAATCGCTGATAATAATATGTCCCAGAAATGTCTCGCAATCCGAAAGTGGCGGGTTCCTCGGGTCATTTGAAGCAACTTTTTCCTTTACAAAAATGTTCTCCGAGGCACCGTTAATGAGTTATTAACGAAAAACACTGACCAATAAGAGGCGAGCTCGGCTGGCGCGCGACGGCCCAGCCAACCAGCGCACGGAGCCCAGTACCACTATTGACCCGGCCGTCTCGCGCCAAATGATCTCGCCTCTGATTGGTCACTGTTTTTCGTTGATAACTCGTAAACGAAGCCGCGGATTGCATTTTCGCTAAGGAGAAAGTTGTTTCGAATGACCTCAGGAATCCCCTACTTTCGGATTGCGAGACATTTTTGGGACATCCTGTAGATGCCGCCAAGTACCGAACTAACTTGCGGGTCCCGTCGAGTAAATCGTAATTCGATCGGACGTTGTTATTTCGCATCTCATTTAAAGTCGAATGCCGCGTCCGCCGAAGCGGCGAAGTGGATGTAAGCAACGTAATCGTGGATGATAGGTGTTATAGGAGAAGCAATTGCGGTTGTTGAACGTGACCTCTGTTTCTTCATCCAACGATTCGCCATTATCACCAGGTTAAATACCGAGTTTCATTTTATTTCGATAAATCAGGGCACGTTGCACTAATCCGAGGCGTCGTAGTCTTCGCTCTCGATCGGCGCGCGTATTTCACATTAAAAGAAGCTTCGTATCTGACAATAATTCGTAGCATATAGTGGGTCGTTCCGGCGACTTGTTTCGTTTTGCAACAAAAATTTCGTTTCGTAAGGGTGTTAAAAAAGGTACTTGATTCAGTATCATCGATCATAAAATAAGATGTCTACGAGCACAAGAGTTCGAAGTTACCGGAAGAATGTCAGTCTCATTTTTACTCCGGACATTAAAAGATCGTCTTTCATTATCTCGCGAAAGAACGAAGCAACTTTCCGAACGACCCAATACTTTGTACTTGAGAATGTCCATTGAACTGTTGCAAGACATGTTCTGAGCCTAATCCAAGGTTAATTTGTGCGATAAACATGGGTATAGCTGGCGCTGCACCGACGCATTTTGCTCTCACCGAAAAAGCATCCAGTTCCATGGGAAATCTTCGCGGGCTCTTCCCGGTCCTCCTCCGAGAAAGGGACGAGATAGCACAAAGCCGGAGAGCTCTATGCTTTCATCAACCGTTCAATCTTTACGTTAATCTGAAATACCTCGTTTGCTCTAATCCACGGTTGCTTGCACTAATCCAGGGTGTACCCTTTGCACTAAATCGGGGCATATTTCTCCCATTAATCTTGGACGCACACTTCGCCCTAATCCGGAGGTCTCTGCCGTGCTCTAATTCCGACATCCGCGCGCATCCGAGTTCGCGCGAAGTAAAACGCGTGCGTTTTCTCGATGTAAGTTTTTGGTTCGGTCAGCGTTTCTTTACCGGCGGAGGAGCGCCGTAAATACCGCCAAAAGGCAACATTTCACCCGGGACGCGATATTGATCGCGGTTCTGCGGCTAAAAAGATTACCGCGAATCGCGATGATATTGCTCTACGGCCGGCAATTCGGGCCCATTTTCCCCATAATGTTCCGCGCTTCTTCCGAGAGCTATGCGTTCCGAGCCTCGTGCACCGAGGAACGAGGGTGTTCGACCAATCCGCGGTTAAAATGATCAATCGATGCCAACGCGTCGTTTCGGTATCAGAGCGAGTTATGATTATTATTTCCTCGTTCGTAATTGTCTAACGTTATTGTCCGTGATCGCTTATTTAGCAATCGATGTCGCGTGTGACAGTAATGTCTCCCCAACTGACGCTCGAATTGTGCAGAAAAATGGACAATTTCGGAAGAGGAGACACGATTTTTCGAGTCTTGAGACACATTTATATAGTTGCCGATTGGCAACAATTGTAAAAAACGAGGCGCAAGGCTCAAATAATCGCATCTCCTGTTCCCAAATTGTCCTTTTCTGTGTACAGTAATGTCTCTCCAATTGACGTTCAGATTGTCCACAGAAATGGACAATTTGGGAAGTGGAGACACGATTTTTCGAGTCTTGAGGCACATTTATATAATTGTGGACAATTTATAACTATAAAAATAAACCGCAAGGCTCGAGTAATCGTATCTCCTCTTCCCAAATTATCCATTTTAGTGGGCAATCTGAGCGTCAGTAAGGGGGACATTAAAATGGACAATTTGAGAAAAGGAGACACGATTTTTCGAATCTTGAGGCACATTTATATAGTTGCCGATTGTCAACAATTGTAAAAAACGAGGCGCAAGTCTCAAATAATCGCATCTCCTGTTCCCAAATTGTCCTTTTCTGTGTACAGTAATGTCTCTCCAATTGACGTTCAGATTGTCCACAGAAATGGACAATTTGGGAAGTGGAGACACGATTTTTCGAGTCTTGAGGCACATTTATATAATTGTGGACAATTTATAACTATAAAAATAAACCGCAAGGCTCGAGTAATCGTATCTCCTCTTCCCAAATTATCCATTTTAGTGGGCAATCTGAGCGTCAGTAAGGGGGACATTAAAATGGACAATTTGAGAAAAGGAGACACGATTTTTCGAATCTTGAGGCACATTTATATAGTTGCCGATTGTCAACAATTGTAAAAAACGAGGCGCAAGTCTCAAATAATCGCATCTCCTGTTCCCAAATTGTCCTTTTCTGTGTACAGTAATGTCTCTCCAATTGACGTTCAGATTGTCCACAGAAATGGACAATTTGGGAAGTGGAGACACGATTTTTCGAGTCTTGAGGCACATTTATATAATTGTGGACAATTTATAACTATAAAAATAAACCGCAAGGCTCGAGTAATCGTATCTCCTCTTCCCAAATTATCCATTTTAGTGGGCAATCTGAGCGTCAGTAAGGGGGACATTAAAATGGACAATTTGGGAAGAGGAGACACGATTGTTCGATCCTCGCGGCTCGTTTTTATAATTGTTGATAATTCGTAACTATAAAAATAAACCGCAAAGCTCGAATAATCGCATCTCCTCTTCCCAAATTATCCATTTTAGTGGACAATCAGAGCGTCATTAAGGGGGACATAAAAATGGACAACTTGGGAAGAGGAGATACGATTGTTCGAGTCTTGCAACTCGTTTTTATAATTGTTGATAATCGATAACCATAAAAAACAAGCCACAAGGCTCGGACAGTCGTATCTCCTTCTCCAAAATTATCCATTTTAGTGGACAATCCGAGCGTCAGTTAGGGAGACATTACAGTGCAATCTGAGCGTCAATTAGAGAGACGTTACTGTATTCGTAATAAATCCCCTCGCGACGGATTCAGCATTTACCGCATTATAATTTTAACGGTTTCGTATTCGGAATTTCGTTACACGGTTCGATGCGAATTTCGCGTTGTCATTCATATTCCGCCACGGCGCGCGCCGACTTTTTTATCCGTCGTGTTTGCTCGACTAAATTAATCAGCCGGCCAACTGTTTCGTTAAGGAGCCCACCGCTCGGACAGAAAATTTTGTCCACAAACAATGCCGACGTTGTTAAGCATCGCGCGTGACGATCGATTAAATCGAGTTAGGTGAAAGTCAGGCGAAAAATTGTTTTGCCCGCTCGAGATATTTTCGTTGCTTAGTTGGAGCCTCTGACCCTGACCGGGCACAACCTACTTACACTCGTGATTTGTCGATCACACCAGTTGCACGGGGCGGTGGTGGTCGTAGGTCGGCCAGACTTGCATCTTTGCTTCGTCCCTTACGCGCGGAACGATCGTCCGCGCCCTCCGAAGCAATTCGACCTGCACAAAAATTGATTTCACTGTTAACACGTCGAATGCCACGCCGGTTTTACAGAAATTGTCCGTGGCGCCACGATGAATTTTCTTTTATGCGATACATGTAATGCTGAAATATTATCTGCAATAGATAAGTTACAGTGTACAACCATGTTTGACATGTTAATTGCGACAGGGCTCACCGTTTGAATCGACGATGGTAATAATACCAAATTTTGGATATTGGCATTTGTTTCAAATTATATATATTTCTATGAATTTAGGCGCGCCGGCCACCGGTGGCTCCCATGGCGTCACCGCCAAGTTAAGCGCCGGTCACCGGTGACCCCCGTGGCATTCGACGTGTTGGAAAACCGAACTTTCGTTATAGCCACTCGATAAACGGCCATTCGATTGTCTCTTCTGGTTCCCCGCGACCTTGATCGTTTAGCTGCATAGACCCGCTGCATCGAACAACACGCAGAGAAGGGGATATACTCTCTTCTAGAATTATACGAATTTGAAACCCGTCCGTTTTCGATGCTGTCGCGTTCCAGAGAAGCTATTGCGTCACTAAGAGAGCATTTTCGTTTCGTTTGCAGAATCTCTTCGTGAATACAACGGCCTCTCTTCGGATCTTTACAAGCCATCTAACTACGATAAGCTCGCGCTCTCTCTACTGTCGCCGCTGCCGAACGAACAGGATTTCGCGATCAACGTTTGCACGTTGCTGTCGAACGAGGGTAAACACATCCTCCGGCTGGACAAGTACCCCCGTCTGGTGAACATCCTACTAGCGCACGCGGGCGTGTTCGACTCGCCAGGCACAAGGCAGCTCTTCATCGAGGTCTACTCCCGGGTGAGGAACTACTCGATCAACTCGTTCTGGTCGGACGTGCTCGACTGCCAGGACGTGATAGATCTCACGAACGAGAGGACGTTCATGAAGAAACCGGCCACCAGTCCGCAGACATTCTCCAGGCGGAAAATCTTGGAGAAGCAGAACAAAAGCGCCGCCCAGATCGAGAACGATGAGCCCTCAACGTCGATGGACGTCGACGGGGTAAGGCCAACCAATCAATTCAGTTTCTCCCCGTGGACTAGCTCTCTCTCTCTCTCTCTCTCTCTCTCTCTCTCTCTCNTGCACAAAAATTGATTTCACTGTTAACACGTCGAATGCCACGCCGGTTTTACAGAAATTGTCCGTGGCGCCACGATGAATTTTCTTTTATGCGATACATGTAATGCTGAAATATTATCTGCAATAGATAAGTTACAGTGTACAACCATGTTTGACATGTTAATTGCGACAGGGCTCACCGTTTGAATCGACGATGGTAATAATACCAAATTTTGGATATTGGCATTTGTTTCAAATTATATATATTTCTATGAATTTAGGCGCGCCGGCCACCGGTGGCTCCCATGGCGTCACCGCCAAGTTAAGCGCCGGTCACCGGTGACCCCCGTGGCATTCGACGTGTTGGAAAACCGAACTTTCGTTATAGCCACTCGATAAACGGCCATTCGATTGTCTCTTCTGGTTCCCCGCGACCTTGATCGTTTAGCTGCATAGACCCGCTGCATCGAACAACACGCAGAGAAGGGGATATACTCTCTTCTAGAATTATACGAATTTGAAACCCGTCCGTTTTCGATGCTGTCGCGTTCCAGAGAAGCTATTGCGTCACTAAGAGAGCATTTTCGTTTCGTTTGCAGAATCTCTTCGTGAATACAACGGCCTCTCTTCGGATCTTTACAAGCCATCTAACTACGATAAGCTCGCGCTCTCTCTACTGTCGCCGCTGCCGAACGAACAGGATTTCGCGATCAACGTTTGCACGTTGCTGTCGAACGAGGGTAAACACATCCTCCGGCTGGACAAGTACCCCCGTCTGGTGAACATCCTACTAGCGCACGCGGGCGTGTTCGACTCGCCAGGCACAAGGCAGCTCTTCATCGAGGTCTACTCCCGGGTGAGGAACTACTCGATCAACTCGTTCTGGTCGGACGTGCTCGACTGCCAGGACGTGATAGATCTCACGAACGAGAGGACGTTCATGAAGAAACCGGCCACCAGTCCGCAGACATTCTCCAGGCGGAAAATCTTGGAGAAGCAGAACAAAAGCGCCGCCCAGATCGAGAACGATGAGCCCTCAACGTCGATGGACGTCGACGGGGTAAGGCCAACCAATCAATTCAGTTTCTCCCCGTGGACTAGCTCTCTCTCTCTCTCTCTCTCTCTCTCTCTCTCTCTCTCAGATATTCCTTTAAAAGGAAACTTGATTTCGTTCGCCCTCGAAAACATCGATTTTTCCAACGAATAACGCTAATCGCGATATTGCATAAAAAGGAAGAGATATCTTTGAAGTGAAATTCTAAAAACGTTCACGTACACTGAAACGCTTGAACGATGAGAAACATCTCTAATCCTGAACAAGCGTGCGGCGGATGATTTTTGACAAGACGATTTTATCACCAGGTGCTTCCGGATTGCTCGAGGCTAGACCCACATCAGGACGAGAACTTGAAAGACCAGAACCAAAACTCCATCAAGTTCGAGGAGGAGGACAGAGACCTGTTTTGCGTCGGGCGAACGCTGGGCACGCAGGACCCGTACGGCCAGCGTGTTCTGCAGATAGCGTCGATCCTACGGAATCTCAGCTTCACGCCGGAGAACGCCGCAGTGCTCGGGAGGAATCGGTGTTTCTTAAGATTCGTGTTACTGTGCGTGAGGGCGAGGTGGAGCAATCTGCATCAGCTCGGCTTCGACATACTAGGGAACATAGCGAACGAAATAATCTTAAAAGAGGCCGGGGAGAGGATAACGGACGTCGTGTTGTCATGCGTCGCGAGGGGTGTCGAATCCCAGGACAGGTTTATCGTTATATCCTGTTTGGAGGTGCTTAATAAAATTAGCCAACAAGACAGCAACGAAGAAGTCGTCACATTTGGGTTGGAGGACAGTGTGTACGAACTTATATGCAGGTAAATGGATGATGCGGGGGGTGTTTGTAACGTCGACGGTTCCAAAAATTGCGTCTCTTAAAGTCAAGGTCTTTGGTGATTGTTGGGCTAGTTTTCATGTTCTAAACTGCGTTTCCTCCTACACGGTCGGGGATATTTAAACGATTCGTCTTAATATCGGGCATAGATGACAAAAAGGATGCGGTGTCTTTTCGCAGGTTTCTGGCACTGAACGACATAGCGCTTTTAGTATACACCTTGGAATGTTTGTACGCGTTGACATCGTTGGGTGAGCGGCCATGCACTAGCGTCGCGAGGGTACGCGGGGCTATTGACACGTTGGTCGCCCTTGTGACGGTGGAAGCACAGAGTTATGGGCCGAAGGCTTGCATCTTGATGCGAGTGATCGAGACAGTGTCCACCGTAACTACACCGCCGAGCACTACCCAGAACACTCCGGTTACTGCCGCTGCACCAGCTGCGACAGTGTCACCGTCGGTGCCAACCATACCAGCCACTATCACTGCAGCACCAGCTCCAGTCAGTCCGGCTCCTGCGAGACCAACCACTCCAGCTGCAACCGCAGCAAAATCTGCAACGCACAGTACGTGTCCCCTTGCGATTGGGCCGAGTTAAACGGGAAACCCTGAAAACCCCGGAAACCCTAGACGAGAGTCGAAGCGATATGAGAAGTTTTCTAAAGTCTCTTTCCTCTTGATCTCTATACAGAAGCGGTGGAGACAAGCAGTTCGATACAACAGCAACACGCTCATCAGCAAATCATACAAGAAAACGAGCAATTTGCCCTCGGCTGGTTGAGAGCAACATTTGAATTGGCACCAGGTGTGCGTATAGAGCAAGAAGAATTGTACAAGAAGTATCTCGGTTGTTGCACAAAGATTGGCAGGAGGGGAGTGATCGCTCCGCTTCATTTTCCAAGATGTGTTAGGTGGGTAATCGTATCCTAAAATCATATACGCAATTCATCTGATAGAGTCAGTTTTGTTCGACAGGTGAACAGGAGCATTGAACTCTATTGGATTGGTCCGTTTCAGATCCGTGTTTGGTGGAAGCGTTGGACCAAATCCATTGAAAGGTGAAACAACTGGTACTCAGTATTACGAAGGAATCAGAGTACGGGCCACACCTCCCCAAGTAACTTATCCGAGCCAAACCGCAGTTGGGACTAACACAGCTCCAATTCCAGCGATCAACACAACTCCAGTAAAGGTGCTTCCCGTACAACAGCGTACAATCAAGAGTATTAGTCCTGCTCCTGATAGCACGGCCCTAGACAATCCTGCATCTGGGCCTCAAAAACTCCCCATCCCAGCGTCACCTATCCTGAAAGCCCAATTATCTGCCCCACCGAAACCACCATCCAGTGCATCAAACACTTGTTCAACTCAATCCCAAAATCCAGTCACCAAGGTTGATTCTAAAAGTCAGGTGGGTCCGAGTCCTAGCTTTCTACCATTCTCTCTACCACTCATGACCTATTATTTTGGTTATGGTTTCACGATATGGCTACTGTAATATGGGCTTTCCTTAACAATATTACATTTTGCATGACTCGAGTCCCTGTGTACTCCCATCGCTATCGTAATGCATGCAGATAAGTAAGAACCTGCGTGACGTGGTCCATCTTATTCGAAACACTTTCAGAAAAAAAAACAAATTTTATGATTTTATTGGCGATTCTTGTGATTATTAGTACAAACAGCTAATTAAAGTTTAATATCTAGTACAAAGTATTGAACAGTGTTACCTTCTTTGAAACTTGTTAAAAACATGATGAACTCGCAGGAAAAATGAAACAGATTTTACTATTTGTTTCGAATAAGCTGGACGTGTCTGTGATTTATATAAAATATAAGTATCAAGTGTGATATCGATTCAAAGATAAACATTGAATACATGACTTTTCGATTCATGAGTCTTCCGTTACTATGTGTGATACGAAACATTAATTTTTATGAATTAAATTTTCTATAACATAGAGAAACTCATTCGTGAGAGACATACGATTTGCTTCATATCTTTCATTTTTATAAGTTTAGTTACAGTTTTAGCCTTCATATATTTTTTCTCAGTGATTATTATTATGAGTCTGATATTAGCTATGAGATTTTATTGCTGCATGATTAAAGTAGACCGTACGTTTCTTCTATATGTGTATTTTCGGATTCCTTGTCATACAACTGCAATTTGTATCATGCGATATTTCAACTGTCTTACACTATTATAACAAACAATATTACAATTAATATTTAAGCTACCGAGTTTAACTTGTCTTACTTGATCCATGCTTAGCAATAAATACAACGCTATGAACAGTGTCTTAACTATTACTACAGCTCGACTTTTTTAAAAAACACAAAAACGAAAATAGTTGTATATTTTCTAGTAGAAGTTCTTATCTATGACAAGTAAAAAATCATTAACATTAATTCAATTGCATTATTGGAAATAATATCTAGGTACTTAAGAGCCTCTTCTTCTACTATTAATATTTAAAAATATATACGTAGGAATCATAAGAATGTTTTTATTTGTCTGAACAATCGATTCATCTTTGGGTAACGATTGTTGATTAGGTGTCAGTGTCACATCCTCACTTGAGTCAAGCGTTACTATCCAGCGGGTCCCAGACACAACCGCTGCAGCCGCAGCTGGTGCAGCAACAGTCGCAAACTATTCAGGTAGTTGCGAAGGATGATAATCGAAGTGGTACCACATCCAGTTCCATAATAAAAAGCCTACTGGCTACTAAGGTAACGGTCAGCAGCGACTGCATGCCCAGTACTGCTGCGACTTGTGTGTCTACTCCTACTGCCTGTGTAACAAACACTACTGCTAGCATCGCATCCAGCATCAGTGCGAACCAGCTAATAACCAGCAACCAGGTATCATTGTTGTATATTAACAATGAAAAACTGTAGTATTACTTTATCTTTTTTTGCTGTTATATTGAGTTTGTAGGCTGTCCAGTGTGATATTCTGTTTGACAATAGTCTTGTCTTGTAAAATAGCTGATGCCGAAGTACCACTAAAAGAGTAGAGATAAATAGAAAGACATAATTTTCAAATAATTCAGTAAAGACATAGTAAATTTATGAAACATTCAAAGAAATGCTAACGTAAAAGTTGTAGAGACAAAGTATAAGTTTGATGGAACGCTTCAGCTCTTTTAGAGGATAAGATCAGACCTGAAAATGTTTTTTTGTTGTACGACTTTTTATTTTTGAACATGCATTCAAGCAAAACGATTTCTAATTTGTTTATTCTTACCGTATTGTTTATTCAATAATTAAATTCAGTAATACTTAACAAAATAATTACTTTTCACATGAACAAAGACGTTCATGATTGAAATTTTACTAACAAAAAGCATGGTGTGTTCGATTTCGAAATGATTTTGCCCCAACGATAGTAAAGAAAGAGTATAAACTGTGAGGTTGTGTTCTTCCATAGAACAGTAAAGTGTCATATTTTAGTTTGCTTAAATTACATTTGGTTGGTAGGTTGCGCAACGACAACAGCAGCAGAGGCTACTGCAGCAACAATTAACTAACGTATCACAGCCACCCGCAACCACAACAGCCGCATCTGCAATACTCCCAAAGACTTATGTCAACTCGAAGCAACAAAAGCCAGCTATTACACCCATTCCTGCCAAAAAGATACAAAGGCTTAATGGAGCCAAGTTTATCCTGACTAATAATTGTGACAAGGTATGTTATCGTCATTTTCTTATAATAATTTAATCCTGAAAAGACCAAGATACCCTTTCCAGGGCTAACATTCATCCAGCATGTTAGACGAATAACAAACAATTATCTTTCAGACTGAAGTAAACGATAACGAGAACATCAACCAAATTGCAATATCGACGATCGCTTCCCCACTGTTGCTGAACTCCACAGAGAATCACATATCGTCCACGATCAAACTGTGTCGGCCTCCAATGACGACAGTGACGACCGCTAATAAGACAACGCAGCGATCGACGTGCACGTCAATCGCAGAGGACTCGGACTCAACCAACAATTCTTTAGCGTCTAGTAGCGGAATCGGTGGCAGCAGGGACTGTTCAGGGGTTGGTGTCGAAGAGGATAACTCCCTAACAAGTTTCGAAGGTATTTTATTGAACGGTGCGCCGAGCAACATGGACATCGATGCGCAGGACGATGGCTCGTCAAAGGACTCTTCTAGCGTGACATCCAAGGAAAAACCGTTGCAAAGCATGATGTTGGCGGATCTCTTAGAGAGAAAGGTGGAGAAAGAACCTATCTTGAACGGCGTACTAGGGAAAAACTCCATTAACGAGAAAGGCATCGACTTAGTAGAGAACCACATCAAGAAAGTGCTGAAAGAATCTCCAACCGACATAAAAATAAAGACGGAGGTGGAAGAGGGAAATGTTTTACAGACAGAGGTCTCCGAAGACACGTTGATAGAGGCGCCAAGGGGAATAAAGAGGGCCGCCAGCGATTCCGACGATGTAGATGCAAAGAAACCGAAGTACTCTAATGGTACAATGTCGCCAGATCCGGCGGTAGATTCGACGACGGCGGAGTCAACAGTCTCGAGCATAAAATCCGAGGAGCAGGACGACGACAAGGACAGCGAGAAGGCGACGGTCTCATCCACTGCTGCCAACTTGTACGCAGCTCTAGCCGCAGATTGTATGGAGGATGAGACAGATCTTGACGAAAACGTGAATGTGACGAAAGAAGAGCCAGCTGCGACGATAAAAGAGGAACCACATATATTCGTCAATCAGATTAGTCAGACACCTCAGCCACCTCAACAACAGTCTCAGCAACATCCTCCACAGCTCCAACATCCTCCACAGCTCCAACAGCCTCCGCAACTCCAACAGCCTCCGCAGCTCCAACAGCCACCGCAGCTTCAACAGCCACCACAACTACCACAACTCCAACAGCCTCCGCAACTCCAACAGCCTCCGCAACTCCAACAGCCTCAGCAACCCCCTCAACCGCAGCCTCAGCCACCGCCACAACCGCCTCCTCAATTGCAGCAGCATCAGCAGCAACAACAGCTGATAGTCGCAGCTCCTAGACAGACACTAGTGGTGCAACAGACGATCCAGCCTAATAATCAGATGATCATACCTGCTGCATCGATGAAGGCTAGACAGGCGCAACCTCAGCCGCAAGTTCTGTTGCAACAGAGTGCAGGGGGACAGCTGCAATATGTAGTTTCCGGTGGCGTACCGGGCCAGAACTATGTCTTGGCTCAACCTCAGACTACCTTGGTCCAGGGACAGGCACAGACTGTTTTAGTGGCACAGACGACGCAGCAGCAGGGGACTGGCGCGAAGACTATCATTATCCTGCAGCCGCAAGCAGCTGCTCCGCCTACTCAGCAAAAAATGGTAGCTGTCACGCCTCAAGGGCAACAGGTGGTCGTCACTCAGGTTTCGAGACCTATTCTGCAGAGTCCTGCGCTAGGGAATATACCACCTCCGCTTGTTCCAACGTCGGGAACGATACCCCAGACTTCCATCATTGTGAACAGTTCGATGGCGCAGTCTAATCCTAATACCGTGACAGTTACGATCCCAGCAATGGCTCAGCAGACCCCAGTGTCCACTAGTGTGCCCTCAAGGGTCGTGACACCCACCCCGGCATCGACACCACCACCTACAAGGCCGACGACTCCACATCAAGCCGCTGCTACGCATGGACTGCCCGCGAAACAACCCCCGAAAATCATGAAGACTGTCAGTTCCTGTACCTCCACCGAACCCGAGTTGAAACCGTCGACCAGCCAGATCCAACCAGAGAATAAAACCATCACGATCAAGATTGATCCTAATGCCTTTCTATGCGAGTGGCGGGGATGCTTGAGGTAATTTAAAACTAACTCTCGTAGCTCATTTTTTAAGGAAATGATTACCTTGTCGTCATCCATGACTTCTTTCAAACTTTTTATTCTGACAGGCAATTTTATCGTGTTTTCAGGCAATTCAAAACATCGCACGAGGTTTACTTGCACGTATGCGAAGCGCATTGTCCAATCGGTGGGGAGGAAATATTGTGTCTCTGGGCGAGTTGCGATGCCCTGAAGAGGCGTAGGTTTTCCTTGATGACACACTTGTATGATAGGCATTGCAATGCGGAGGTTGGTCGAACGATCATGCAGTATTCGTCAAGTAATGGTGGAATTTTGAGCAGTTCAAGTAATGCATTTTGTTCACAGACGATGTACACGAGGAGGAAACAGTTAACGGTGACCGGAAAGACTGAAGTTTCGACGTCGACGCCACCAACTCCTCATCATCCTGGCTATGCACCAAACGCAGCATTCCATGCTATTAAGCGGCACGCCTTGGAATTCGTTAATCCAAAAGAGCTGATGGTTAGTAGAAAATTTGTTAATCATATTTATCCAGCGAACAACAATATACTCTACTCGCTTCACCAAAGCGATAAATGAAAGAAAGAGTGTCTAGCTAGAGCAGAAAGCGCCATCTCTGTCACGGTTGTAACAATTGAATATTCTATTAGATTGATGTGAGAAATATACTCCGCGCAGATTTCGCAGAATCCTTTCTAGCCCCACGGTTTCTAGAGTCGATAGAGTTTTGTTAATGTAATGAAATTTCTCTGATTTTCTCTCTTGGCGAAGCAGCAAAGGCCGACCAAGCCCGCTGCAGCCACCTCAAGCTCTTCTTCCCCAAGACCTGGGCAAAATCCTCCGCCAGAACAGGTAAAAACAAACGTGTTCAGAAAAGTAGAGGATTCATGATCCATTCCACAGCCACAGCCCCTGTGCGCTGTTAACCTGTCGCATATATCTTTGTTTTGTGCTTTACTTTTTCGTTTTCGCACCGTGCTGAGTTTTTATTTTTAATTCTTGTACCTCCTTCGATACATGAGATACGTGTGCCTCTGAAGCGATTCATCCGATGCAGCTAATCCATTTTTAATATTTCAAGAATTTATCTAGAAGAATTCTTAATTATTAGAACAGAAATTGAATTGTTTAAGTAGGTCTGATTTCTTGGATAACTTTTTGTGATAGGGAAAATGAATCAGTAGCTTGGGATGAAATGCTTCAGTGATTCATCCTATATAGATTTCAATAAATATTTTAGCATGGAGTTCATTTTTTACTTTCATTTTGGTAGCTAGAGCAGCTGTAATTTATGTGTTTTATGCCGTTCAAGTGCTCATGATGGGCAGGGTGTTGGTATAATTTTTATTTAAAAGGGAGACGCAAAGTAGAACACATTTGTTGTGCTTACGATGTATAGATGTGATATCTTAAATGATTAATGTCTGACTCGAGAATATATAATCACAGTTGTGCTAATTGAATTAGATGGTATTATATGTTATCATTGATTGGTAATTAAGGGAGACCCATTCGACCTTGTACTTGAACATAAAATTTTTGTCGTTATATTTAATTCAATTTTAATATTTGACGAGACTTTAGATTAACTAGATTAATTTAATTAGTTTTTTGTTTATTGTGTGGAACCGTTTGTCCGATAATCAAAGTATGAGGCGTAGTGACAATTGTTACTTTTAAAATAAGTAAATATACTAGTGTATGTTTTGAAAAATTAAGTATCTGAAATTTAATTAAAAACATTAAGTGTATATATTCGCAAGGTTTTCATGTGTATTTTTGCATTACGATTACAAGCCAAAATTTTCCTTTTGCTACCTTACACAGCATGCTGTAGTCTCACTTTGTTTTTTTAAGAATTAGAAACCCATTGCGTGACATGCTTATATTTTAATGTTTGCAGCATCGTTTTATAAATAATTTTCTTAAAATTTTCTTGAAATTTCAAATCAGTGACTCCATTTTGTTTTCCTGATCATATCTGACTAATGTGTTCAAGGTGTTGCAATTCATTAATTCGAACATCATTAAACAATTGTCATACTTGTGTACACATAATATTTGTTGATTAAAACAGTGTGATTAGTTAATTCGATATGTATGTTTCTTTTATATACATTTATTTTTCATCGTGTAGTTGTAAACAGTCACGCTTGGAATTCATAAAATGCTTTACGCTTTCTCAACAGGACGACAACGAAGGTCCAGTGACCAAAAGTATTCGCTTGACAGCAGCTCTAATTCTCAGAAACCTAGTCATATATTCAACACATGGCAGAAGGTGAGATTATACTCCTAATTATTCTATTAAAAGGACCATGATAATAGACTGAAACCTATTCCTAAAAAGATTATATAGGATTTCATTATTTATTATTGGGTGACCCACCCAAGTGAAGCACTTTAAATATCTCTTACAAATGATAATGGTAAAGACTATCAGAGGAAAACATAATTAGGTTTAAAGGAGCAAATATCTTCCAAATTCAGAGGAGCAAAATAATAAGGAGAGCCAGTAAATTTATTAATATCTTAATCCTTTAACCATTTTATCCTAACCCAGATCGTAGATATTTGCGATAATAATTGTGGCCCAATTTTAATTTTGTGGTTCTGTTTTGTAGGCACCTTAGAGCATACGAACCACATCTGGCGGGTGTGGCATTAAGTAACGTTGAATCATCAAGAACAATCGCACAAGTTCTATACGATATGAACGATCAAAGCAGCAGTCACCATAGGTGACCTCTTGAACCAGGCCTCTAAGAGAAAGCTCTTTAAATGTTCTCCGAGCACCGATCAACCTGTTTTACTTTGAATTTTAGTGTAAAGTGAAAGAGTAAAGAGAGAGAAAGCGAATATGGTAGAGAATGATAGGGAGAGAGAGAAAGAAAGAGAGAGAGAGAGAGAGAGAGAGAGAGAGAGAGCATGACCGAAAGTGAGAATGAGAACCAGAAAAGTAATAATGTAAGATTATGACTTTTGCAATAAATTGCAAAAATATAAAAGCAAAGAAAAATGTGTGACTGTGCGGTAAAGGAAGGAACAGTGGCAAAAGGCGAAGAGAAAAGTAGGAAAAGAAGGTGATGAAGAAGAAGAGTATGACACGGCAATGTTCCATATTAATTAAAAAGAGGCCTATAAACTTACTAGGCAAGCCAATTTGCCGATTTAGACTATAATAATGTACTGAAAATAAAAACTAGTAAACCACGAAACGAAAGACAGTAGTTGAAGTGATGATGCAGAGAATCAGTGATACAAAACAAAACGTGAGAAAAAACGCAGAAAAGAAGAAAAACAAGAACGAGAATAATATTTCAAATTTAATATTAATATTTATTTTCTCAACAAGAAAGCGGAAGAAATGTTTTTAGTAATCTTGTACAAAAAATAACTGAATGGGCGAAGAAAAATACTTTATGGACGTTATAGTTAATTACGAATCAATATTATATTATTATTATATTATATTATTATTAATTATTATTATTATTATTATTGTATGTTTTTCATAAGTCACCAAGAAAGAAAAAACCTAGATTATAAAGAAACCTTTTTATGAAATGTATTTGTTAGGAATTTATCATCATTTCTCTTTTTTTCTTTTCGCTTATATAATTGCATATTGCAGTTACATGGCTATATATTATTGTCTCTCTTTTTTGTTTTATTGTCGCATAATCTTGTTGCCGGAAATGTGACGTTGAGGCAACGCATATACATATACATAGGATGAACCGTATCAAAACATTGGCCGAGAACTATAGTGCGTCTAAAAAATCTAAGAATTCTTCTCCTACTTCAAATCAGTTTCTAGGTAAAAAGAAAGATAAATTCGAACGGATTTTTACGCTTTTTCGAAAAAATGTATAATGTTCAATCTTGTAGGGGTTTTGGACCATAAAGCCAACAGCTTTTTATGCAAGGGGTCCAAAAATTTCTACCATTTGAAACGATTGTCAAATGGAACATGGCACGAAACAATGTATGCACGGAACATAAATATTGCGACCCATTTAAAAAAGTAATGCGACCTATAAATGATCTTCAAATCTACATTTAATGTTTCTACATTTTTTCGTATCATATACTTTCTATCCGACAATTGTTTCAAAAGGCAAAAATTTGTAGACATCGCGAGAGACCAGTTACCATCGTTTCTAATACACCAATCAACTGGGAATTTTATAACTTCAAATGTACTGATCCAATTTGACAATCATCTGATCCGAGTTAACTCTAGTCGCCGTTTGTTTCTTCCACAGAAAATTGTCTGTCACGAAAAAACATTGATTTCGCTTAGAAAAAAATACTAGTTTTATCTTGGAGTCTCGAAACCGTCAAATATTGAAGTTTGGTTCTTTTAAATATTGCCCTAGGATGGCAGAGAGGTAACCGTAGCAGACAGAACTTTTGGATCTGTACGCAGGGTGTCCCATTATTCGTAAGATAGGGTAATTTTGTAAGGAAAATTGAGTTGGAAACGTACAATATAATTTTTTCTATAAGGCTTTCTTTTCCAGAATTTTCAAACTGGGCCTCGTATGGAAACATTATGTTCTAACTACATTTTTGGCTCATTTTTCTAATGTGAAAAAAAGGTATCTTTTAAGTGATACAGATTTTTCTCAAGAACTGAGATGATATCTAACAGAATTTTATTGTATATTTTTTAGTTGATTTTTGCAGAATACTAGGGCACTCTGTTATGGAAATCGCCGCGCACCCTTAACTCCAAAACTTCCTATAAGCTCTAACATTGCACTTTTAGCGCATCGTGTTGCAACTAAGTCGTTCGTTTCTCGATGGTCTACGCACGTGAGACAAAAAGGAAATGTTTTTCTTCGGTGTGTGCGAGTTGCGGAACTCTTTGAGAAAAACGACGAGGCGGCAACCACCAAACAGAAAGCAACAGCTTCGATTCGATCGGGTTAGAAAATGATCAATTGTTCGTGTGTTCTAGACACAGTCGTAAGTATATTTATACTTGATATTAGCAAAGGCCTAAACTTCGTTGAAGCCAGTGGTTTTCAAATTTTCAGAACTAAAGTGGATGGACCTTGTTAGGACGCAATCGTTCCCGATAATACTCGTTTTAACAGTTTTCTCTTCAATTTAACCAGCGAAATGCTTCTTAAAGAAGAAATAACCGCTGAATGACTTTGCATGGATATTCCGATAAAATTCTACGAACCAGAATTCTGTAATTTATCATTCCATTCATCAACAATTCATTATTATATTCGCAAGTAGAACTCTTCCTAACTGAATCTTCGAGTACTCAGGTACTATGATCTACCCGTAAATCAATGCAATAGTAAAAAGCCTCAGTTACAATTGATAATTTTGTTGGGGCTTTCTACATTTCTTCTAAGCTAATTTTAATTTGAAACACGTCTTTCGATTTTGAATAGCTTGACCCTTTCAAACTAAGAATTTTGAACGAGATCTTTTACAGAAATCTTGAAAAGAAGAACACGACTTGTAATTAATAGTTGTTAGATTTTTCTCATCTCCTCGCATTGATCTACTTTTTTTTTTAAACTTAGAATTATTGTCTACTATTTTGTATTATAAGCTGTACAAACAGAAACGAACATTAGATAAAAGAAGTCTACTATGAAAGAGTAATTTCGATTGCTCCGTGTTATGGATTAGATAATGGAAAAAGTCAACCAACTTCGTTTCTTTTCCTACATAGTTTTTAATTTCTTTTGTCCGATTGATGCACGTGAAACATCATTTTTCAGCGTATCATTAAACAAACAACGTTTCTTTCTTTCTTCAATATAATCATTCAATTTGTGAATGTTATTCAGCAAAATTTGCTAGGGAACTAATTATTTAATTTACTTTCTTGAGAGGCGCTACCCAATGACTCTCTCTCCAATTTTTTTTTACCCACCATACGAAACAAGTGATCAAAATTAGGGGCGCATGGATCTCTTTTTCTTGAAAACCATTAATTCTAGAAAGTGTATGCAAGAATCAATTAGAAAATGTTTTCTAATTCTTTTTGTAATGTATACAATAATTGTTTCTTATTTGAAGTTTAATTTAATTTTGTAGAAAAATTATATGATGTCTCGTGTGCGCCAATTAAATGGAACATTCGTTTTTGTTTCTAGGACTATCAATGAACTAATTGAAAATTTCACCGTGATCAGATGTCGGTATCAGTTGCGTTTGTGTGGGAAACTCGCATTTGCCGAACGTGTGTGTATGTGTATTGTTCGCGAGTTACCCCCGGTACTCGTCCATGTCCGTGAAGTTACGATTTAAGACGATCATACTTGGAGTAAAAGTAAAGGAAAGAAACTATCTTATACATATATACATATATGTATAATTATAAATATTTGTACATAATGCCTGTATTTCATTTATGATGTTAACGAGCTCTGTATAAATTTCTTATTAAGGGTGTAAGATTATTAGACGTTTAGGAGCGTCAAGTGGAAGCGAGAAAGTTCTTGTATTATATTAGTTTATGACAAAACGTAGGAAGTTGCAAGGTGTGAGATCTTTTTGTAATTATTGAATTGATGAACCAGTGGACGTCAACCGAGAGAGAAAGAGAGAATGAAAGATACAGGGAGAGAGAGAAAGAGAGAGAGAGAGAGAGAGAGAGAGAGAGAGAGAGAGTGACAGAGTGTATGAAATAAAAAAAGTACTGGCTGACACCGATTGTAAACGAAAAAGCCGATACCTTTATTATTAAAAACTCGTAAAACTTGTAAAACTTTGCGCGAGCCTCTATTATGTATTTTATATATAAATTATATGCACACACAGGAGACACATACGTATATATATAAAATACATATATAAGTATACATATACATAATATACATAAATCAAATTGAATAGCTGAACGTTTAGGATCGAAGAAGAGAAAAGAGAATCTTATCGAGAGGCTTTTTATTTTTATTATTTGTAATTACCTAGTTTACATGTTCAACGTTTCGTACGATCATCGAGATCATAAACGTATGTGTAAAGGAATAAAAGAATGATATATAATAAATTACTGAATACGAAGGAGAAACACTATTAAAAACTGAACATACAAATCGTTTGGATATTGTTTATTCTATTTCTTTAGACTTGTCGCTGATGGACAAATAATTTTAATACATTATCTACTGATGTGTGGTTATTTAATAGTACTTCAATGAATTTTTTCATAGATTGCTTAATAACGAGAGCAACTTTATTCAGAAATCAATAAATTATCTCTGGCTACACTGTGTCTCTAACAGCAATTTTACTCAACATAAACCCTCAGTTCAGTTTTTGAAAAATTTAATTTGCTTTAATTCTAATAGTAAAAGGATATTAACGTTAAGTTCGAATTTGTTGAATCATTGAAAAGCTAATATTAATAATCTCCCGGTAGCTGAAGTATTACGATACCTAATAGACCTTTTTCTCGTGGTTATGAAATATTCTTAAATCAACTTTCTTAGGTTTTTACTTCGAAAAAGATAACTGTGTCTGAAAGAGTACAGTTTAATTCATTTTCTTATTCCATGAACAAATTACGTTATTATTTGCTGAACAAGTAAATATAAAACCTAGTACAATAGAAAATATGCTACGCCCTTAATCTATCAGTCATGGCTACTATACAGTAACAATTACTTTAATATAGTCTTATAATTTATTCGTTCAACATGTACAATTATTCCTCCAGATTATGGCCATTACTACAGTTTCCATGTTCACAGATTAAGCTATTAAACATCATCGTACACATTAAACATATTCCTTCTTACTTTATAGTATTAGTACTGTAAATTCGTTTACCACGAATTTATAAAATAATTATTCACAAATACAAGTTCAGTCTTCGTTCGGCGACAATTGACATTTTTTATTTGTACAAATACTTCGAATAAGCTAAAAACTAAACCCTTAAGACAAATTCCTCTTAATACTATAAATACCATAAATTTCACTTTACTTTTAACTTAATACACATATGCCAGATTTGTCTGCTCTCTCTTTAGCGCAATTATCTAAATTGCTTGCGAAACTAACACGAGAAACTGAGGTGGCAGATGTGATGTACAAATTGGACGATTGTGTGCAAGCAGTCGTCCACAAATTGGATATTTTACAATTTGATTGACTTCTAATATGACTGCAAATATTTTCAGTATTCTCTGTCGATTCTAAACACTTTTCAATTTTACACTTTACAGGCTTCAACTGTTTGAACATTGTAGGCACTTGCATTCTGCGCTTCTTTAATATTTCATCGCTTTTACTATTAATTTTATTTATTAAGCATTTAGGTTTAAAATTTTCCAATTCCATCCTTTTGTACCTGGACTTTAAATACGAGTTGTTCACCCCTCTAGTTAAAAATAACATTGTAATAGTCTTCTCTGAACGATTGCAACATTCCTGTAACCGTTCTATGTTTCCTAAACTAACGGTACGATCTTCTCTCTTTAAAGGGTGGCTTATTAATCCACTTAATTTAATCCTTTTTTCCTGTAGTCTTATCAAATTTCTATTGGAAAAGATACTTGTCTGATCAGGAAAAGGACAGAGACACATCTTTTCGCTTAATAAATTTTTGTCGTTGCTTGTGGAGGCTATAAGTGGTTTGAAATTTGAAGAATCAGAGGTGTAATTTGTATTTTCTACAGTTTTTAAGGTGTACGACTGTTCTGTATTGAACTTATCTTTGTTTTCGGATCTGTGAAACATTTTCTTAGTTCTGTAAATTTTTTCTCGTTCATTGCAACATTTAGTTTCTCCATGAACATTTTCTAGCTTCTTAATTTCTTTATTACTTTGTTGCAAAAGGTTGTCTGGCAATTTATTTAGTTTCAAATCCACATGAGTACACTTAACAAATTTAAAATCTTTGACGCTAGGCTCTTGTATGCAAATATTTTCCTTCTCTGGTTCCTGCGTAACTATATCTTTCCGCTGTCTACTTTTCTTAGCTTTTATATTTTTGTTCATAATAGTCAGCTGTTCTTCCAATGTTTTTGTGCACTCTTTGATCTCCTCCAGCATTCTTATGCATTCTGGCCTCATACAGTCCACTGAATTTATGTTTGCCGCTACATTGCAATCAATATTTTTACGACTTACACTACTATGCGGATAATTTTGCATGCCATACTTTATCTTGTACTTATCATTATAGTTTTTTATTCCCACTAGCATTCCTTCAAGTATGTTCATTGTAGTGTTGGCTGCTGCTTTAGATCCCTGTTCAAATCTAGTGTGATACAAATTCTTGTCTGTAAACAAGGAATTGTCAGTGACTGTGCCAATTGATTTGCAGCTTACTGTCGAATTCACGCATTTAGTTCCTCGCCCTGCTAAACGACGATGAATGGGATCACAATTTTTGTTCGTGCAACAATTGGGAACTTTCGTCACGTTTTGGGAAACAGTTTCATTTTCTGGAGCAATACGATAAGAAATTTTAGTGTTAGAATCATCAACAGGCTTTACTGATCTGAAATTGATTGTAGAATAGTTACTCGAATCACAATTTATGTTAGAACAATAACTTGGAATATTTGCAGTTAATAAACCTTTAGAAACCGCACTTTTTTGTTTCGGTGTGCTGGTAAAAAATTTAACTGCATTGCCTTCAATGAAATTTTCATACTTGGTTTCTTGACCCATCTTAAACTTAGAATACCCCATAGAATTATAATTTATACTAGATTTAAGTTCTTGTTCTACATTTAATGCAGTACGATTAATCGAATCACGGTCAACATTAGTGCAACAATTCTCTTCTTTTTCACCGGTATCAATAGTTTTAGATACAATTTTATCAAATATATCTTTCTCATACTTAAACGGTGCTTTATATTTTTGATCATATTTATTACAACTGCATAAATATCCTAACTGATCATGCTCTGCTTGTGAATTTGCTCCTACGAAAGTCGAGATATCTTTTTTTAAAAGTTCTTCAGCTCTTTTCGATCTCGTAGAAGTTATTTCACCTTCATACACTCTTCCTGGAGCCTTTTCTAATTTTGTTACTGGTAAAGTTTCCCATGCTGCTTCTCTATAATACCTAATATGATCTGCAATCTTTTGTTCAGTTTTATTAACATCTGCTACAACTCTACCATCTTCATTTGAATCTTCTGTCAGCTTTGTGCTAACCATTCTTGTATCCATAATCATTGTATCGTTATCAGAATACATCAACTTCTTTCTAACCAGTTCGATTGGATTTTTAGCAATATCTGGTACTTCATTAGAGTATTTAATACTATAAGAAGGCAACTCATCGCTCATGTAAGGACTCGTTTGAATATTATTAAAAACCAATGTGGACTCACATTGGGCTTTAACAGATGGCAATGAATGGAATTGTTTCTCCGTGCTTATATTAATTTGTTCATATCTTCTCTGAGGAGAACTCTGATTCTTATTCTCATTCTGACTGTCATCTTTCTGTGTACAATTATACTGAGTGGATTTCATAGTGCTGTCTGACCGCAGTATTATATTTATACAAGGAACGTCTCTGTAAATTTCATTCGTTGTTTGCATTCTGTTGATTGCAGGACCGTGATCTTCACTCTGCAAAGATCTATTGATCGGTAGATATTAAATGATATACTCTTATATTACGACATTTAAATCTACGTTAAAACTGTCGGGTGTTGAGTTTAAAGACCTGTAAATAAAAAAAAAGAATCTCTTTGCAAACTATTTGTAACAGAACGATTCTACTAAACTGCTATCGATATTTTTATATAAGTTTACTCGTATTACTTCAATGACATTTGATTTATTTATATTTATTAATTTTTTATTTGAAACCAGTGAAATCATATATGCGACTGCAAATGTATTAAGACTGCCACTAAATGAACCGTTACAATTACTATTAATTTGTGCAAGCTCTAATGCATCATAACTCTGAACGTTTATTGGTATTGTTTTGCTTTGAAGCGACTGCTTTGTTGATTGCAGCAAAGGATGCAGTTGGCAATTTATTCGATGATGCGTTCTGTGAAGCCTTTTTCAGGGGCAAACACTTGCAATCCAACGGGAAGGAATGTCGCGCAGGTGTATGTGTATTGGAGTGTATGGAAATCGAGGAGTACGGTTTCTTCGGCCAGTCTACTTGCCTGGCAGGTTCAATTTTGTTTGTTAGTGTCGAGACTTGAGGAGATAAGATAATGCAAAAGTGGAGGAGACAGTTCCATTTCATGTTTGGTTTGCGAAGACAGATAATGAAAGAAATCAAATTTCATTCACGTCTTGTTAGAAGAATTTGGGTCCTCCATTTCTGCATTGGATCAGTTGTTAAGCAACTTAAATAGGATTACCTGCACACCGTACCATTGGAACCATTAGGAATTTTGTTATTGGGAGGTGAAAATCTATTTTGTTTGGATGAATCTTCGTCATGGGATTCTGGATATCTATGGAATCAATAGTTCTCGAGATCATATTCGATCCGCCACCTTTCCAATAGTATATATATAAATTTTTTAAACAAATACCTCCGACTTTCTTCCTCCTTTCTAGCACGATCAAATCTCTCGTTCGTCATTTGTCTACGAAGTTCACTAATCTGTTTAGAATACTCGGCAGCCTGAGTTTGGTACTGTCGAAGCTTCGCCGATTCCGAGCTCCTGCAACAACAAACAAAATGCAATGAAAAATGCATTGAACATTGTAACAATCGAACAACTATCCCTTACAGTTTGCTTTGTAAGTCGGACATTTTTGTTCTCAATCTGGACATTTCATTTTGTAGTTCCTGATTATTAGTTTGCACAGTTATAGACTCCTGTCGGGCTTGATCTAGAAGCATTTCCAGGCGTTCTACAGTCGCGCGATCCCTGTTCATTTGGTCCTGAATTATTGTCTGTTCGGCTTTCAGTTTAGCAATTTGCATGTCATACTAAAAAAAAAAAAACGGAATAGTGTTCCCAGAGTGCTGTTAAATTATATATTGATATTTTACAACTAGAATTTTCTTCTATCTATTTACTTGTGCTTTAATCGAATCTTTGTCGTCCAACTGGTGCATAAGCGCGTCCTTCTGCTGGTCCAACTTCATGCAGAGATCTCTAACAGCAGTTAAGTCAGCCTCTGTTCTCTGCCTTTGGTCTCCCTGCTGGCGTAGCTGAGTTTCCATGCTGGCAACATTTTGAGTCAGCTCGCTGATCTGGGGAACTCAAATGTCAACAAAAATCAACAAACTCTTCCTAAACAATCTATTGCCCGCCGGCAGCCTACCTGAGTCTCATAGCCACTTATCAGACTCTCTTTATCGGCCAGCTGCCTTTCCAAGTCCAGCACACGATCCCTGGCTGTTTGAAGTGCTCCTCGCGCCTCTGCTGCCTCGGATTCCAAGCTGTGATTATTATTCTCCAAAACGGTTGCTTCCAAGCTTAAGCTTCTAAAATGGTTCAGCATCTCCGTTCTTTCATTTTCCTAGAAAATGCATAATCATGCTACGTGAATCTACTTACAATTTTTCATTTTCATTCATCGTATCCGAAATAGAGGAAAATGTCACCTTTCTGTTGAGGAGCTCTTCAGCTCGGCGCACCTCGCTAACGTAAGTCTGCAGCTGTCTCTTCAGGTCGAAGGACTCGGCTCTCGACGCCTCTAATTCTCGTTGCATGTTTCTCACCTCGCAGGTACACGCTGCCAGATCATCCTGAATCCTGCGATTCTCTTGTATAGCGTTTTCCCGATCGTAGGTAGACGCCTGCAGCTGACGCTGACAATTCTCCAATTCTAACTGCATCGCCCTCGTCTGCCTTTCTTGTTCCGCAGCTCTCTCGATGGTCAATCTGTCGACAATCGCAATAAAAAGAAATCATATTTCTGCCAGATTTTTCACGCGTTTGGCTACCAGCCCGAAATGCGACGCTTCGACCCTGTCACATTTTCATGAAATAGCGACTGCAACATCATAGTATTAATATTCGTAATCGGCGTCTACCCGATTACGCGAATGGCATTGGCCATCCCTCGTGGCGCAAGAACCGTTCTCGAAAGAGGACAAGGACAAACGCGCCGGGTTTTATTCGACGACGAATTAGGCGGCTTGCTTAATCCTTCCTCGAAAACATATCTACGTGGCCAGATATCGATTCGCTTGTGGATCACGTAGCCCAGAGGACAACTTTATTAGGGGCTAAACGCTGAATACGTAAGGACAAGGTGGCATTGAACAGAAAGCCGTCGGTGGCTGTCGATTTGGGACATGATGGATAAGGGTGTTCACCGATTAAATGCCACGAAAATAAGTAAACTTCTGCAATTTATTGCAGAAACGATGTTGCAGACAAGTATTGACCGAATACGGTAATGTCTCCCTGATTGACGCTCAGATTGTCCACAAAAGTGGACAACTTTGGAAGAGGAGATACGATTGTTCGAGCCTTGTGGCTCGTTTTTTTATGGCTATCGATTGTCAACAACTATAAAAACGAGTTGCAAGGCTCGAATAATCGTATCTCCTTTTCCCAAATTGTCCATTTTTGTGCACAATCCGAGCGTCAGTAAGGGAGACATTACTGTTACTGTGTTTTAAAGTCTTGCAACTCCAGACTGTCGAATCTGTAACAACCCCTCGCGTAACTGGTTCGAATGATTTCCGGTAATCCTGGGATCTTGTTCTGACTTTCGTGCGCGTAGAGGTAAAAAATATGGGAGAACCAGAACCGATAAGGAGCCTCGAAGGGAAGCTGCTGCCGCCGCGACGCCGAGGAAGGACGACGAGATGAGAGAAAGTCGTCTGTTCGGTGTGTTCAAACTTTTTCCTTTTGGTACCGCGTTACCGGTTACGTAATCGACGACAGCGTAATCGAGGGACCGAGGAGCATCCTCCGGAATGTCACTCTCGATTTCCGTAGAGATGCTCGCTCCATCAACATCGGAAATCGACGGATGAAGGAACAGATCAAAATGCGGTTTGTTCTCCTGCTATCTCAACCCTTTGGATTTCTGCTCTATCGGAAACTTACTGACGTTTAGAATTATTAACCCTTCGCACTCGAAGCCACTTCAACCGGAAATCTGAACTAACTTTTGCGACTTATGGTATTAACATTTTACGTGACAAAGTGCATTTTGTGCATATGAAATCGAGTCTTGTGACTCATGCAATAGTGAGACTTTGAACAAGCGCTTGTCTTAATTGATTGCGAAGAGAACCAAGCGGCGCGATAGCGCTCGTCAAGATTAACCCTTTGCACTCGAAGCCATTTTAACTGTAAATCTAAATTAATTTTGTTGACTTATGGTATTTCCATTTTACGCGACAAAGTGTATTTTATGCATATGAAATTTAGTCTCGTGACTCATACAACAGTTAGACTTTTAGCAATTTTTTACATCTAAACTTTGATAATATCAAAATTACCTTGGAACGTGATGTAACGAATTTTAGTGGTGCCTCAGAGTCACCACTCGAGTGCAAAGGGTTAAGTTACCGACCAGTAACCGGAAAAGTTGAAACTGTCGCAAAATCGAAGCAATTGAAATCATCGGTTTGATTTTCGCCATCAATAAGTGCGACAAGCGCGCACGAAGAAATGCGCACAGTGTCTGTTCGTTAACATTGTCCTCGAAGCAGAACAATGTTAACGTTCGATCGGAAGTCGGAATCGTGTCACGGACCCAGCGAGCGAACTCGGCAAGAAGAATGCCTGCTTAGAATTAAATCCGACGGGTTGCGCAACCAATTAATAACTGGCATCGCTGCTACCTTTCTGTCACGCGATCATCTGCAATTATTATGTACGAGTGCGATGGCCTCAGCTGTTTGTAAACAGCGACTCTCTATCCTCCTCCTTCCTCTTCTCGCTGTTACCCCAATTAGCAGTGGATTTTTACAAGCTGTTCGAGACACTCGCATCGATGAACTGGTCGATGCAGTTTTAAGATGCACCGCCAAAGTCCCTCGTGGCGTTATTTATGCGAGAGATATTTTTCAATGAAGAATTAAAGCATCTGTTGGAATTGAAATATTTTCCGAACAATGGTGAAGTAAAAAGTATACGGTAAAATCTCCGTAATTTCCCTTCAGCTTGTAAACAAAAATGAACGATTTGGGGAGATACGGCGACACATTTTTAATTATTATTTTGCTTCATACTGTGTAAGGTGATCATATACAATGCGTAATTGAAAACAATAGTTCTTTTTATTTATCAGTTCCTATAAAATTGTCGATTCAATTCAACTCTGTACAACGAAATCTCAATGTTTGAAAGATCCGTTCCGAGTGCAAAGGGTTAAGTTAATCTGCGAATCAGCGGTTCGAATGATCTACAGAGCGTATTCATCGTCCTTCAAGGATGAGAAAAGGATAATAGGAAATTACAGCAAAGTAATCGATAAGTACAGTAATTCACGCTCAGATCGCGCACAAAAATAGACAATTTGGGAAGAAGAGATACGATAAATGTGCCTCAAGACTGGAAAAATCGTGTCTCCTCTTCCCAAATTGTCCATTTTTGTGCACAATCTGAGCGTCAGTAAGGGAGACATTACTGTGCACAGAAAAGGACAATTTGGGAACAGGAGATACGATTATTCGAGCCTTGCACTTCGTTTTTATAATTGTTGACAATCGGACACTGTACAAAAATATAAAGTGTCCATTTTTGTTTACAAGCTGGCGGAAAATTTGGGAGAATTTGCTGTAGCGGAATTTTAAAAGCCACGCGGATCAGTCGGGATTTGAAGCGGTGCCTGAAATAGCGAACGACTGCATTTCCACTTCGCGAGATCGAGGAAGAAAGAAGCAGGTGAGTGACAACGCGGTACTAATGGTCTTCTGGACGGTGTATTTCATCAAGAGAGACTTTCCTGATGTTAATATGACTGAAAACGCGGAAGATTCGGCGGCATCTTACACACGCGGCTACCGTGAACACTTGTCAGCGTGAAAATCAGTTTATCTCGCTTCGTTCGCCGGCCATATCCGTGATTCTTTCTCCCTTTCGCCGTGGAATTTGCACAAGCCGAAGGAAAGTTAACTTCGTCCGCGGTGCCGGAGCGAGAGGAACGCGCGGGCAGCAGTCTCATAGAAAGTGTTATAGAAACTGCGGGTCTGGGTTGGGCAAAGTACTTTTGCCGGGTCGCAGACTAATCTGCATCGGCAATCGTTCCCATGCACGCGTTGGGATCGCTTCGAACCTCCCCCGATCGTTAAAATACGCGATCGATCGATAAAATTCACCGAAATGTATAATTAAGGTCGCAGACGTGTTCAAGAGACTCGAATAACCGTTACTGCGTTGGCGACAGCGACGCACGAAAATTCGCGAACGTAGCGAAAGATTGTGCGAAGAACTATACAAAATTTCGTAACGATGTATGTTCGTTGGTTTATCGAAGCAAAATTCTCAAAAGTAGACTTTCGAAACTGAGAAGAACGAGTAACACAATAAGCACAGTAATGTCTCCCTTACTGACGCTCAGATTGTGCACAAGAATGGACAATTTGGGAAGAGGAGACACGATTTTTCCAGTCTTGAGGCACATTTATATAGTTACCGATTGTCAACAATTATAAAAAACGAGGCGCAAGGCTCAAATAATCGCATCTCCTGTTCCCAAATTGTCCTTTTCTGTGTACAGTAATGTCTCTCCAATTGACGTTCAGATTGTCCACAGAAATGGACAATTTGGGAAGTGGAGACACGATTTTTCGAGTCTTGAGGCACATTTATATAATTGTGGACAATTTATAACTATAAAAATAAACCGCAAGGCTCGAGTAATCGTATCTCCTCTTCCCAAATTATCCATTTTAGTGGACAATCTGAGCGTCAGTAAGGGGGACATTAAAATGGACAATTTGAGAAAAGGAGACACGATTTTTCGAATCTTGAGGCACATTTATATAGTTGCCGATTGTCAACAATTGTAAAAAACGAGGCGCAAGTCTCAAATAATCGCATCTCCTGTTCCCAAATTGTCCTTTTCTGTGCACAGTAATGTCTCCCTTACTGACGCTCAGATTGTGCACAAGAATGGACAATTTGGAGCCTCGCAGCTCGTTTTTATAATCGTCGACAATTCGTGACTATAAAAACAAACCGCAAAGCTCGAATAAATTGTCTATTTTGTCTCTCCCCAAATTGTCCATTTTCATGCGCAATCTAAGCGTCAATAAGGGAGACATTACTGTATACACATTCTTTCCAGTCCAGAAAAATCATCGCGGATCTCTGTTTTTTTGTTTAAAGTTAAAGTGCATGGTATGACTAACAATCCTAGCGTTGCATCGCTCGTAAATTTTAATGCTCCATCTCGGCCTGCGAGGTCAGCTCTGCCCTTTAGATGCTCGGTGCTCGTCGAGATTTAGCTCGATTGACCTGTTTTTCGGGTCGATAATAATAAATAAAATGTACATAAATACATAAATACGTGAAAAATCCATAAATAATAATAGCGATAAATAGACCGCGAATTTTATGAATTCATGATAAAAACGAGTAGAGAAAGATTCAGGAAAATTGACACTGACGATGGATTATTTTGAACTTATTAACCCTTTGCACTCGAGCGGCGACTCCGAGGCGCCATTAATATTTGTTACATCACCTTTTAGGATAATTTTGATGTTAACAAGGTTTACATTTGAAATATTGTTATGAGTGTAACTGTTGCGCGAGTCCCAAGAGTCGATTTTCATGCATAAAATGCATTTTCTCGTATAAAATAAGTTAGAAAAATGATTTTGTATTTTCAGTTGAAACAGCTTCGAGTGCAAAGGGGGTCAAGATTGTTAAAAAAAAGAAGAAGGGAACTTCGAACTGGCTACTGCTTTCTA